CATTATTTTTTTTTTCGGTAATATTAAGTTACTAAAGGTATAAAATTAAATCCGCCCCCTCATCATTTTTTTTTTGTTACAGACTATTAATAACCGAAAAAAATTGAATTCAACAACAACAACAAGGACGATAACATTTTTCTTATCATAAGAATCGATTTATTTTATTTATCGTATCGACGGAAACGATATCATCATACGTTTCGCAAAACCGGAAACGATAATTAAACGATTTTCAAACGTTTTAAGTGAAATTAAATTTACAGACACCGACACAATTGAAATTGAAATTTTTTTTTTTTGTCGTACGTTTAAGAACTTGACAATGATTTTTACTTAAAAAAAAAAAAAATTACACGTGTAAATAGCAAAAAAAAAAACCGGAAATGAATGAAAGAAAGAAAGTTTTTTTTAAAAAAAAATTATTTTGTCATATTACATTTATATATTATATTATCACGGTTAAAAAAAAAAAAATTATAAACGGGTTCAACTTTTTTTTTTTTAAAGTTTAATTTTTTGTTTCCGTTAAAAAAAAAAAAAGTATTGCAATATTACACAATTTCATACAAAAATTTCCCGCTTTTTTTTTTTTAAAAATTATTCTCGAACGTTTCCACGACCGTTAAAAGGTTGACCAACGTCGTTGACGTCATTAAAAATTAATTATTTAAAATCTGATTTCGACGAGGAAATTATACTCGATAATAAATTATTATTAAGATGATATAAAAAAAATAAGTTTTATGAAAGTTGTTGTTGTTGTTGTTGATGATGATGATGATGATGATAACGGTAAGTTGTTAAGATGGCGATCGAATGAAGATTCTTTGCAAGGTCGTGACCGAAGACAACAACATCAACAATATCATAACGTAATAAAATATTTTTTTTTTAAAGAAAAACGGCGGAAACCGACCCCGTGTGTTAACCGTCATTATAATTATATACAATTTCATCATCATCATCATCATCATTAACATCATTGTCATCGTTTTTCAAAGGTTGCCAACTTTTTAAAAAAAAAAAAAAAATCATATCACACGTAATATTTTCAATAACCTTTTAATATATTTTATTTATTTACTCGATCAACTCGAGAGTGTGGGGGGTGGGAATGGGGACAGGAGGGGTGCAAGGGGCATGGAGAGGAGCAGGGGGAGGGGTGAAACCATTATATAATATTTAGACCAATATATATATAAAATTTTACATCCTCGATGAGGTAAAAATTATTTTTAAATATTATTAAAAAAAATGAAAGTAAACGTTATCGTCATCGCTTATATTATTGACCGATCGAGTATTTTATTACATATAATATAAATATATATTATAAAAGTTTATAATATAATATAATAAAAAATAATATATTATTCTTATATAGAATGTAAAAAAAAAATCTCTTAATAATTCCATTCAAGGTAAAAACATTTAAATAAAATAAAATAATTTAGGGAAGAAGAAAAGTTTTATTAAAATCCCGTTAAAGAAAAATTCATATTATTATTATTATTAACATCATTATTATTATTATTTTTCAAATGTGAAAACAATTTTCAAGGTAGAAAAAAAATTAAATGCGTGGGTGACCGAAAAACGTTTATTAATTAACAAAAAAAAAATTAAATTACGCCGCGGTATAGATTTCACGTGGGGGAATCGTTCGAAAAAAAAACGTGGCAGTAGAAAATTTATATCATCTTTACTATTAAAAATTAATTTTTTTTTAAATGAAATATTTGATGGATAGTGTGTGTGTGTGTGTGCGACATTTTATAAATTCTCGTTAAAAAAAAAAAAATTACTCGATATAATTTAATTAAAACTTTCTACATTAAATAAAAAAAAACTTTTTCCTTTTTTTTTTTTATAATTTTTTCCCCTTCTAAAACTTTCATTTGACAAATAAATAATAATAATAATAATAAATAAATAAATAAAAATTACGATTTTATTAAATCACGATTTCGATTTCGATTTTTTCATCTTTCTTTCCTTTTTTTTTTTTTTTTTTAATTTATTAATTATGTTTTTTTAATTTTTATTATAAAATTGTAAAAAAAATTAAATTTCTTTGTGACACGTTACGATTTTTAACCGGATATCATCAAAAAATTATTAGGTTCGATTTCGGGAAAAAAAAAATAGGGAAAAATTCGTCCTTGAACTTTCGACCTTAATAATTATGCAATTGTATAAAATAATCGAAAGTTTTTTTATTTATTTAAATTTGATTTTATTGCAAAAAAAAAAAATTTAATTATAATCCACCCTTATTTCATAGAGTAAAAAAATTATTTTAAAATCTCCAAATGAAAAGAAACGTTATTTAAACTGACATTTAACGTGTAAGCAGAAACAAAAAAAAAGAGAAAAGAAAACGACAATTTTCTTATTTATTAAATGTAAAGTTTAAGGATAAATTTTTCATTCCATGACTAATAATAATCGCAAATAAAATTTAAATTTGCACTTTTTTAAATTTAAATTTTAAATTTCAAATTTGCAAAAATTTTTTAACTAAAAAATATCGATTTCGAACCCGTTAAAATTTTTTTTTTTTTGCACGGATCATTATAAAAAAAACCGTTACAAAAAAAATTTAAAAAAAAAAAGAACAAAATCGACCAACCGTCAAAATTTAATTTATTTCCTTTTATTGTTTAATAATAATAATAATAAAAGGAAAAACATTATATTCATGTTATTTTCACCGTCGCTCACACAACATTATTATTAATAAATAAAATAATAATAATAATAACAATAAACTTTCGATTTCATTTTATTATTATTATTATTTTATCACTTACGCAAAAAAAAAAATTTGTTGACCTAAATATTTTTCTTCTGCTTTATATTTCTCCGTGAAAAAATCATATAAATCACCTTTGACATGCCCAAACAAAACAAACACAAACGGGATTATTTAAATTTAACAACAATCTGTATTATTATTATTATTTAATTTATCCGACCTTGTATCCCAGAATGAATTCCAATAAATTTATTGTATTATCCATTATTTAATAACACCCACAATGACGGTTGTTAAGTTTTATTAATATTATTATTATTATTATCATCTTTAAGCGTATTTATTGACTTTTTTTTTTTATTAACGGTCATTAATGAAAAATTTTTTTTTCCCTTTCATTCTTTTCATATTTGCAAGTTGTAAAATGATGACGTCATAATGATTTTTTTTAATAATTAACGATTTTTTATAAATAAGTATTATTTAATTACCGTAATAGTTAATAATGGTATTCAAAAATAACGGTTATTTAAAACGGGAAAATTATTATTATTATTATTTAGTAATGCGGGGAGTCGCATGAATTGTAATTCGATTGAGTTTTCCCCTTTTTTTTGTATGTTTTTAATAACTTTTAAAACATCAAACCGAACGTTATGTTTTTTTATGTTTCGTCGTGTTTGTACCACAACAAACAATCGAACAAACGACGTTAATAATTATTTAATTATTATTATTATTTTTTAATTTAAAAATGTTATACGTAAATGTAAAATTTTTTTGTGGAAGAGAATAAAACTATTTTGATTTTAATTATTTTTTAAAAAAATTAACGAGAGGTTTAAAAAAAAGAGCAGACGAAAAGTGAGAGAGATAGAGAGGGGGGGAAAGATGATGATTTTATATTAAAATCCGGTTTTACCAAAGGCTCCCCGTTTTAATGAAAAAAAAAAAAAAAAAGAAAAAACCTTGAGTGATTATTTAAAAGTTGCTATCGACGTATGAGACGACCTGTTATGGCGATGACTAAGACAAAAATGATTAAAAAATAAATAAAAAAATTTTTTTTTTTTTTTTTTTAGCGGAGAAGAAGAAGAAGATTCCAAAAAAAAACGTTTGAATTGTGACGTAATCAATAAACCATGACCTTGAAAATGACACAACATCCCCCGTAAAATTAGGCGGATACTATTACAAATTACTTAAAAATGAATGAAATACAATAATAATAATATTAATTAATGATAAGAAAATAAAATGTTTTAATAATAATATTTTGATAAAAGGATTTTTTTTTAAAATGGCGGACATGTTACAAAAAATGCATCGGAGACACGACCCGAAAATACCCGATGGGTACCTGAGGGAGATATAATACGGTTACGTAATTTGTATCTTTGTTTGTATGATAATATCAACCTGTTTGTATCCTCTCTCTCTCTCTCTCCCTGAGTGTGTGCGTGCGTGTAATGACTACAAACACACACACACTCTCTTTCTCTCTCTCTCTCCTTAGTTGGTAAGGTGGGGTAAAAATTCATGGACCGCATTAATGCCCTAAGATGCATGTAAGAGCCCTTCAAAATCTTCGATAACGCTTATGTTATAAACTTGATGCCCCACTTCTTGTACCGGGTACCAAGACGGTACTTTTAAACATTTTCTTACATATGTTAAACACTGTTTGTAATAATTTGCTATCAGTGAATGTTTTTCTTTCTTTTTTTAAAAAAAAAAAAAAAACGTTTACCGTCCGGTGGGTATTTTCTTACCTTTTTTTTTTTTTTTTTTAATCTCACCGCAGTTTTTTTTTGTTTTTGATTCATTTGCTTTTTCATCTTCGTAACGGACGTTTTCAGGTTTTTTTCTTTTTTTTTTTTTTTTGTTATTTAATTCGCGTCGGGAGTGAGTTTTTAAAAAAATAAAAAATTTTTTTTTGGACTATTTTGTATTGTTACCGCCGACAAAGGTACGATCATCTTTATTTTTTAATTATTTTATTTAAACATTTTAATAAATATTAAATTTTATTATTATTATTATTATTATTATTAAAGCGTGCAGGAATTTTTTAAATAAAATTATTGATTTTGGTTTTTGATTTAATCGATAATCGATAAGTAATTTTGAAAAAAAAAAAAAATCAAAACGGTTACATTTTAATTAATAATCATAACATTTTTACTACTATTATGTTTTTAACGGTTATGTACATAAAGTAAATAATTTAAAAAAGTAATTGTTATGTATTAATAACTAATAAAAATTTTTTTTTCCGACATAAAAAATAAAATTCCCATGTTTAAAATTATTCCCTCGTGCATGCTATAATTAAATAAAAAATTTTTTTTAAACAAAATAAAATATCGTTATGTTTTAAAACATAAAACGTCAAAAACATAACATATTAATTTGTCAAAAATTATGTGAATTATATTTAAAAAAACTTATGTAAAAATTATTGTTTGTTTTTTCGGTTAATTAAACAAACAAATTATTAGACATTGCAAAAAGGAAAAAAAAAGGAAAAAAATTTATCGTGGGAGAAACGAAACGAGACGATTTTTTAATACTCTTATTATTAATTTCAATCAATCAATCAATCAATCATTCATTTACTCTCTTATTAAACATTCCATCGACATAATTTCAAACTTTTGTTGAAGTGATTCATTACTACGTAATCGGAAACCGATTTTTTTTATTCGGTAAAAGGTTCAAAGAAACAAAAGCTGAAGGGTAATAAAAAAGGTTAAAAGGTCATTTAGTTCAAGGTACGGTTTTTTTTTTACCCTTTTGTTGAGTACTCATTTCATTTAAATTTTTATTGTGGCGATTTACCGCCGAATAAAATTTTGTCATTTAACTAATAATTGCATTGTCTTTGAATTATTGGCAACTTTTTTTATTGTTTTACAATTTAAATTTTTCCATCGTCCTCGAATTTTTTTTTTTTTTGAAATCCAACCAAAAAAAAAAAGAAAATTTTTAATTTATTATTATTATTATTATTTATATAAGAGGAGTTTAAACGTGGAAAAAAAACGTGGCAATAAAAGGTCTGGCCCCCCCCCCAATCAATATAAATCGATGACTTAATTTTAACTAATGGTTTTGCAAACTGTAGATTTATTGATTATTTTTTTTTTAAATACTAAATATATATATATTTTATGTAAATAAATTATATTATTATTATTAATTAAAAAAATATGGCGGATTATATGACGTCACGATAAAAAAAAAATAATTTTTTTCAATTTCTAAATCCGACGATATTTTTAATTAAAAAAAAAAAAGAAAGAAAGAAAGAAATTCGATCGTGTTGTACAAAAGAAACATCTGGAACTTGTACGATAGTAATAATAATAATAATAATAATAATAATAATAATAATTTAAAAATCACGTATGTTTCTTATCAATAGAATAATTTTTTTTTTTTTTCGCACATGTAAAAGTAATAAAAATGGACACCATCGTGACAATATTTCATTTATATATTAATCCTTGATTAAATAAATCGATTTTCGTTTCGCCATTTTCTTTTTTTTCTGTGCCTGGAGAAGGTGGTGCTGGAAACAAAAAAAAAAAAATTTTCCAGACGATTTTTCAATTGTTTCAATGAGTAATATTTCAGTAATATCATTTTTTTTATTACGTAATACAAACATTTACCTGACGTCGTCTTATTAAACTTTTTTTTTTGTCGTTTTCACCTTTCCCGTTTGTAGTTGTTGTTGTTGTTGTTACCACCAAAGGTGGTGAAAATACAAATTAAAAAAATTTTTTTTTTGAATTATTAACACACTTATTATCATTATTATTATTATTTAAAACTTAACGCGAATAATTTCCGCGTAGGAAAAAAAAATAAAAGTGAACGAATAAATAAAAAATTGTTCATTATAAGTAGTGATAATAATAATAATAATAATAATAATTAGAAAGACATGGAAAAAGTATAACAAGTTAGTCAATTGGTTAGTCGGTAGTAATTAGCTGTTATTATTATTATCATTATTACTCTAGGCTTTAAATTTTGTAGTTTTAATGATCTGATGTTTTTTTTATTTATTTTAACTTAATACGGCACTGATGTCAGAAAAAAAATTTTTTTTTTTGGGAAATCTCGTTCAGTTAATTGATTATTACGATGATGATGGTGATCAAGATCAATTAAATTATAAAAAAAAATGTTGTACCGGATTTTTTTATTTCCCGTTTGTTTGTTTGTTTGTTTGTTTGTTTACATACCTGAAATATAAGTGACGAAAATGAAATGAAAAAAAATTCAACAAGTTTTTTAGCAAGGTTTAATAGAAAATTTGCGTGAAAGTTAAAAATTTCATACACAAGAAAAGTCTTTGAAGATCGTTTGTTTGTTTGTTTGTTTGCTTGTTATTTGACATAATATTATTATTATTATTCTTTCCTTATAAGATTAATAACAATTTATCAATATTGTAACAATTTCGTATCGTTTTTTTTTTTACACAATTCAAAAACTTTTTTTTTTTTATGCTGCCACGAAATTTAATTGTCTCGGTTGCCTTTTTTTTTCTAGTGACACGCCCATTTTGTATAAATATAAGGGGGGAAAAAGAAAAAAGTGACTTTGACATGTCATAGACGATATACCTGATGTTTTCACGCCTGTATGTCCTTCTGAATTTATAAATCTATTGTTATTATTATATTAAAGTCGTAATCTTATTAATTTAAAAAAAAATGGCGACTTCTACGTTTAGTTATGCGCTATAACTTGTGAAAAATTTTTATTATTGAAAATGAAAAATAATTCTACGAAATTTCGTAATTAATTTTAAAAAAAAAAAAATGTCAACGCCATCATTTTTTATTTTTTAACACGACGAAAAAGAAAATTTTTTTTTTTTTATTGTCCGTGCCTTGAAATTCAAGGTAGATTCGAAAAAATAAAAATTTTGTCGACGCCATCATAAAATAAAATTAAGTAATATTAATTTGTCATAATCGATTTTATGGATTATTTCTTTATTCGAAATGTTTAATCACTCATCCATGAAATCAACATAAATAAATATTTTATGTACATAAAAAAAAAAAAAAAATAGAATTCGCATCGATACGTTAAAAATTCCTTTCGGATTCCATGTAAATTTATTTAGATGAGTTAAATGCGATTTCGCATTCGTTAAATTATTTTTATAAACCTTGAAATTAATTTATTTGAAATTTAAACGCCGCGTTTTTGATCCATTAAACAAATTTAAATATTTAACGCGGCGTTAAAAAGAAATAAAATTTAAACAAAAGTAATTGTTAAGATGCAACACAAAAAAAAAATTATTTCCCACGTGAAACCAAAACAATACAGTTCGTTATCGTAAAATTATTGTTATGAAAAAAAATAATTAATTAATTTTTCATTATTATTATTATTATTAAAAAAATTTTTTACATACCGTAAAATATAATTAATTATTAATTACGTCATCATCATTTATTTATAAATTATTTATACGAAAAAAAAATTTTTTTGCTGTTTGGGAGGGAGGAAAAATTAATTTCGAAGGTTTAGACTTTTCCCCTCCTCGTTTTTATTTATAAAAAAAATTTTTAAAATTTCCATAATTAAAAATAAAAAATAAAAAACGTGATGATAATAATAACAACAATAATAATAATAATAATAAAACGAGACGATTGTTTCACAGACTGATTAATTTAAAAATGTATAAAGAAACGTGTAACGTAATGTTACGTATTATCAAGGTAAAAAAAAAAAAAACTTGAAATGTATCATCATTATCATCATCATCATCATCATCATCATCAGAGTTATTCGTATTAAATCAACTTATAATTCCTTTCCCCTCGAGGGGTCAAAAAAAAAAGAATATGTATATCAATTTTTTTTTATTTTGCGACAACAAAATCTTCGTCAGGTATTAAAATGAAAAAACCTGAACACGTCTAACAACTTTTTCATAGTGATTTTTTTTTTTTTGTTTTTAATTATTTTAAATCCTCGGGGTTATTATCATTATTATTATTACTTATTTATTTTATTTTATTTATTTTTTTTTTTGATAAAAC